ATGCGCTTGAGAAAGCTGGGCTTAATGTTCTTGCAATGCGAACACGATTTATGGCTGCACAGTCAGTCGATCGAGGACAAGTAGATTTCGAATGGTTTAGAAATATGATAACAATTGTAAGTTACTTGTACACTAGTTTTTATGAAGAAATGAAATCTTGCTTATTTTGCAGATGAACGAAATGGGAGATTCCAGAGTGTGATAAATTGTGAGCCTATTTCTTAAAAGCAAGAAAATCAACTGCACTATCATCAAAGGATATGCTACACTGAGTAATCACAGTCCAAATGATGTAGGGAAACTTGAGGAGCTGATATTTAGAAGTCATTAGGGTATTGTAATTAAATAAGAAATCTGATACATATAATCTTTAGGTTGCTGATCACTACATCAAAATGAATGATGAAGAAAAAGCCGTAGCAGCGTTAGAGACGTTCGTCCTTCGTAGTCGTGAATATAATCGTGATGCTACTGAGCAACATAAAACTGTCGTTCGTAAGTTTTACTAATAATTTCATCTAGTAATTTTTAGAACACTTGGTATCAAAACAAAAAATGAGCAAGTTTCAGGCTTGCTGATGAATAGCCATCGTTTTGAAGATGCGGCAAAGTCCATTTTCGCCCTCTGCCCTGAAATTACTGCTCTTGATGAAATGGGACGTTTTGCTGTTGAGGTAAGCGGCTCCATATCGTTTTGATCAGTGGGGATCTCAAGCCAAAACCCATAAGATTGGTCGGAGGGTATGCAGCGGAGGACAAGCCATCAGTTTGATGTAGGGTCATGTCGTGCATGTCGTTTTGTTATCAAAGTAATGTGTAATAATTGAACAGGTCCATGATCGCAGAATGCGGTGTTTAGTAATCGATATTATCAAATTTAGATTAAGTACAACAATGCAAGTTATACAGTGAAACCATTTCCTCCTGAAAAAGTGCATCGTTTTCTTGTTGGCGGAAGTTTGCCGACAGTTCTTCTAGCACGTCTCGCCGTTTGTTTCATCAGACTTGGCCGTAAAGATCTAGCTCCGGTAATTCTTAAATGCTCGGATATTACCGATCAGTTCATTTCTATTTTATATTCAACACAGCTTGATTGTCGAAAAATAAAGAAATGTATTTATTTGTTACCAAATAGCCGTTTTTAGGTTTTGTTATCGTATCAAGTTTTGTTTCAGACTTATTCAATGCTATGATATATGTTCATTGCAAGTTGGTTTTTAAATTAAGACATTAGATAAAACGGCTAGCATTTGAATGGAAGTTAATTTTGTCGAAGTATGAAATCCATGTGAGTCGTTGCTCAAGCTGATTTCTAAGAGGCTATACGAATCTTAAGTTCTCTCTGCTTCGTTTCGGATAGCCACTTTCGATAGCCAATAACAATTACATTAAAACGAGAGTTGGATTATGTAATTAGCGGATATTTACAGACTCTCATAGACAAACTTTTCGAGCGGATGATTTTTCCGGAAGACCAGCAAGTCTATTTGGACATAGCACGTGCTTATCATGCTGTCGACTGTGTAGCACATGCCCAAAAATATATGGAACATCTGTTGGCTCGTCCATATTTCCTGGATATTGCTGAAGCGTGGTATCTTTACGGTCTCTTTCTTTCCGTATGTTTTTTCATTCACTTTGACTTCTTAATTAGATTAAATAAGATCGAGTCTGGTTTTTTATGCTCGGTTTTGTTTAGGTCTTTGCTTGTAAGAATGACATTTTGTTACAGATATGTGAATAGTTTTTAGATTCGTAAGAGATATGAAGGTGCATGTAAAGCTTATCAGCATGCATTGGATCTGCAGCCGTCACATGTTGACGCACGCATCAATTATTCGACAATTCAGCAACATCTGGGTATGGTTGATGAAGCATTTGAAACGTTGCGTGAGTATGTGTTGGATGCTGGGAGTACTTTGCCGGTAAGTGGTTTATTATATGTTTTTTCTTTTTTATCTGTGAAATGAGGTCCTTTGTGTTCCAAGTATTTACACGTATGGTACAGCTTTAGCGACACTTCTAAACTTTTTCCTTGGTTCAGGTTTGTTTTAAATTTCATGACTTTAACTTGATTTCAACTTCAAATTATTCTCGATATTAATTCGATTTTCCGTAAATTGATTCGACATTTTTCGGGTGAAGATTGTTTTTTTTTTTCCATTGTTAAACTTTGCTGATTACATAGTTTATTTCTAATTTACAGGATGAAAGATTGCTGGTGCGTCAGGCGAACTTCTTATTTGAGCGCAAACGGATGGATGAATTTGCCCGTTGTGTTCGAATGTTGCTTGCTCCTCATTTCTATGAAATTTACTTAAACAATATGGCTTTACTGAAAAAGAGGTTACCAGTGAGTGAACGAGGAAGTGAATTTTTTTCAATATTTTCTATATTTTTTTGCTGTAGCACATTTGTTTCCATTTGTTTGGGAACTACTTTTCATTAGATGAGATCTGATAGTTTTGAGATAAGTGGTGTTAGGAAATCTTATGACTCAGAAACAGTTCCCATATTTCTCTTCTCATCATCGAGTTTTGAAAAAATTGCAAATATTGAGATCTGAGCAAATTCATAATTACGATTGTAGCGATTTACCATGGTATTCGTGTACAAGCATTTAACGCAGTCCGTGGCTCTGCATTCGAAAAGTACGTGAAACGTGTTGGACAGCTTGCAGCAGCGGAAGAACGTGCACCGAGCGAAATTACAGGTACACAAGTAAGTTTTCTTCCTTCAGTAGAAAGTTCAAATTTGCAGAAAAAAAGATGCTTGTGATGGTAATAATTCAGACTCCCGTCTTCCTTTTCTTTGATTCAAAATTACATGAATTCTTGTGTCCGTTGCTTAATTACGTTACCCAGCTTATTTTCTCCTTAACCTTTCGTGCTTTCCTTATCACACTGTATCTATCTTTGTATCCGTAGGATTAAGTCATTAGGTGAATATTTCTAATCTTACAAGCGTTATTGTTGTCTACAATTTTTTTGGGCATTTTGGAAATAGCGTATTCTAACACTCTTTTAAGTGCATCAGATCCTTATTCTAGATTGACAGCTGCAATTCTATTGTGTAATATGAATCCATTATGATCTCTATAATCTAAAGTCAAGGATTAGTTTAAGTGATCTTTTGGAACTTATTAGAAATTTTCACTTTCTAACGAAATATGTTTCACTTTCAGTTACATGATTACTGTTTCAAATTATTGGAAACATTGCTGCAGCAAAAGAGATGCTTAGATGCGTTGCATGTCTGTTGTTTTGCCTACTTACAACCACTCATCAGCAAAAATGTTAAGTAAGCCTTCCTTCAGAGGAGTTAAAGTGGTATTAGATTGAATTTTAATTTCCCATCGGCTATTACTTGTTCACTATAGCATTTAAGGGTTTTTAATTCATTTTTACAAATCGCTTCGTTTTCCAGAACTTTGGAAACATTTCAAAATCTTTTGCTATACTGTTCAATACGAGCACAGGTTTGGCCACTGGCATTCGAATATCTGCGATGGTTCTATACGCTTTCTCTAGTCAGATATTTTTCGTAATTTAGAAATTATTAAATATAATTCAATTCGTAATAGTGTGTCTGATATAATTATTTTATTTTACGTTAGCCAGAAATCGAATATTCCAGACGAATAGAAATTTTTTATTGTAGATACTACTGTCATGCTTTTTCTACCCTAATGCCATACTGTTAGTGATGATTTAATTGCTCGATGAAGTTGGCTGTAATTCTTGCAGATTTAAACTAGTTGCAATCACCAGATATATCATTTTAATATTTCTGTAATAGTTTCGAATTTCCACACTGCTTTTTATAGAACAATAACCTCTTGCTGCCATCAGATCGTGATCTATTGTTCACCCGTATTTTCAATGCAATGAATTTTGTTTTCTGCCATTCTCAGAATGTTAGCTATCATCGATACATAATGAGAGCATTGGCACGCTCTCCGGGTCATTTAGCGCTTCAAATGATTTCGGGAAATAATTCTTTAATTACTGGTGCTTATCGTCATGCTCTTGGTGAGTAATGATCGAAGTTTTTCTTTTTTTTTAGGTAGGTGGACGAGATTCTTCCAAAGAGTTTTCGGAAATTCTTGTGACGAATTTCAAATTTTCCTCTAGAAGCAAGTAGTGGTGTTGAATTGTTAGAAATGCTGTATAAGATTTATCGGAAATTTCTTTCAAAGTATTACAAAAAATAAAATTGATTGCAGGTGAATATCTACATATCTGGAAACTATTTCCAGACAATCCACTTGTCTGCATGCTTATTGGTCTTACATTTGTCCACATGTCCTGCAAAAAAGATATATTCAGCCGTCATATGATAGCTCTTAGAGTAAGTTATCTTACCCGTTCAATATCACTTTTTTCCTCCTATTTATCTGGTCGAGAAAAATCCGACTAGTTATTTATCAGTCCATACAAATAATAATACTACAAAGAAATGAAAAATGAACAACATATCGGAGATCTTTAAAGGGTCTCGCATTCATGAATCGTTATCAGCAACTGCGAGGTGATAATCAGGAAACATACTATAACGTTGGGCGCATGTTTCACCAAATGAATATTTTACCTTTGGCTATGTATTTCTACGGGAAATGTTTGAAGGTAAAATTGCAGTTGTACATGTTGTTTGCGAGCTTATGATCATGCTGAATGTTGCGTTTTAAATTTCTGGCTTTCAAAATTTCAAAAGTGAAAAGAGTCAGGTTTTCTGGAATTACAACTGATCAGGCTGAAATACTGTCATTTCAAATTTGCAGGCTGATATTCCGAAAATTGTAGTCACAGATGAAGTCACAGGCAATGAGCGTACGGTGGAAGCTGAAGAGTAAATTTTATTTTAATTTAAGCTTTTTTGGAAGGTACCATCTTTTAAGGCTTTCTTGCTGTTCAACTTATATTTAAATTTTTTTGTCAAAAACAGATTGCATATCTCATGAAAAAGGTTTGTCTTATGATTCTTCCGTCCACAAACGCCTATGTCTTTCATAGCAAATCCAATTTAACAGCGAATGACATCGCATGCAACCTATCTCGTTCTTTTAACTTGTATAATTCAATTTAGTTCAGGTATAATCTTCAACCTATGGCTGCGCATAATTTGGCACTGATCTATTTGGCGAGTGGGAATCATTATGTTGCGCGGAATTTATTGGAAAGGTATTGCTGCGTGGAATGAATTTTTATTGGAATGAAGCTTATTTGATTTTCGCATGTGACGGTTGTGTATCAAAAATTTTAGTCAAAGATAATGTTCCCATTTTATGTTGAATTTTGGAAAAAATCTTGATGGATTTTTACTGTGGTGCAACATGATTTTGGTTTTTAATAACCATTTTCTGTGAGTAGTATTTTGTACATACTGTTTTCGCTGTTTGACTTTTTCTCGTCTCAATTATTCATCCAAATTTGTGTTTTGTGGATCCTTTAATTCGTGTTATGTTTGTGTAATTGTTGTTTCAACCATCAGCATATGAGTTTGCTTGCTATAAATTGGTCTGAAATCTATTAATGAATATGTTTCAATAATGGTTTGAAGTTTATGTATAATGTTGAATTAATAAAATGTATAGGAATAAATAGTGAGCTTAATTTGTACTTCATCTGTTTGATGGTTATTGACCTTCGTTTATCATATCAGTTATATTTCTAAGTTGTTTGGAAGTAAACCCGAATCAACTTTACTGAGATGTGATATCGGTGATTGTTGATTGAGTGGTAAGTACCGATTCATTACAATATCGTGGAAACTGTTGATGAAAGTGAGTTGTGTCGCGAATTGGCTGATCTAGCATGTATCCTTGCTAATTTTTCATTTTATTGCGAATGGTTGACTTTGCTCATTCTTGTTGTACGGTGGGTTGGAATTACGTATGCGTATGTCCGTTATTCATAGTTTCTTAAGGTTATTATTCGATTAATATCAGAAGCGACATCGATTAATATTAGAAGCGACATGGCTGATGCAACGGAACATGAATGGGAATTAAGTCGCGAAAATATTCGACCGCTCAGAAGTGGTCGGAAGGTCAAATCTATAAATAATGTGTTTGGTGGTAAGTTTCGTTTGAAAATAGTGGGATTTGACAGCAAAATTGTGTTTATGAATAGTAAAAAAGTTTAACAGGAAGGTGACGTATATCCTTGCTTACTTTGCAGTTACCTTTAAATTTACATCTTATCATATTTGTTATCATCTAAGAAGACGTTGCATAAGTTCTGCATTTGATAAAAAATAACTTTAGTTTCAATTTTTTCAGCCAAAAAAAAAAAAAAAAACTTCAGCTGATGTTAAATATGCTAAAATTATTATCGTTACTTGTTCATGGCGAGGATATTAGGTTACCATTATTATGATCAATACTAGTCTCATGAATACGCTGTAAACTTATTAAACAACAAAACTGCATCATTAGGTGTCAAAATCACAATGACCGAAGCAGAAAAGCGCTTCGAAAGCGACTTTGAACAAGCAAAAGCATCAGACGACCCACTGGATATATGTTTGCACCATGTAACTTGGTTCGAGGAACACTTCCCAACAGGTTGCATAATTTATCTAGTACTTTACTCAGTTCCAAATTTTATAGAAGAAAAAAAGGATCCGAACTTTATAGGTAGTAGGGTTGTAGATTTTTTCTCGGGAGCATTTTAACCGTCAAGATTTGAATTTCTTTTAATATATTGCCTTTACTTGTTTTCAGATTTACCTTTTGACTAAGATTGAGTACTTGCAATACTGATCATTATTAGAAAACTATCAAGCTTTTAAATGAAACAAAATGGTTAAACTTTCAATGTCGTGAATCGCTTTCCAAAGACATGGCAATGCCATAATTAGCGCAACAATTTTAATTCGTGCATTGCGAAACTTCAGTGATAGCGATAATGATTTGATTGATGAAAGTGAACTGAGCGTAGAGATAGCAGGTGGATGTATTGCACGAGGTGATTGGTCATACTCAATTGGTGATCTAATTTGACTCCTTCCAAGAAAATTTGCTAATTTTATAGGGAAGCAGTCGCACCTTTTTTCAATACTAACGCGCATAATCAATACTTTTGGTTACCGTGAAGAGTTTCTGAACGATGAAAGGATGCTCAAATTTTGGATAAAATTAATTGAGAACAAATCTGATGCGAATGTGGATGCATTCTTTGAACGTGCTTATCTTGCCGGTTGTTGTCGTCGTTTGGCCAAATTTTATGTTAGATGGGCTGAAGTAAGTCTTAACGAGTTGTAACTTCTCAGCATGTTACTCCTTTCCTGATAGAATCTGAAGGAATTTCACTCAGTTTGATACGCTGCTCATCGTTGAAAGAAGTTCCACAATAAAATATCCGAAGTTATTTTGGGGTTGGAAATTGCGATCTGGGATATTGAATCAGTAAGGTTGCAACTGTGGTTAGCCTTTGATTGTCGTCATTCTTATGAACTATTAGTATTATCGGTGCTACGAAATCCATTTATGTGGCATTTCCAGATCCGTGAAAATCAACGTGATATAAATGGAGCACGAATAGTTCTTAAACGTGGTCGGGACCACTGCGCTGAACCACTGGAATTATTAAATGAAGCATCAGATGCCTTGGAAATGCGGCAAATTCGTGCACTGCGAAACTTCAGTGATAGCGAAAATGATTTGATTGATGAAGGTGAACTGAGTGCCCAACGACTAGCACTTGGTCAACTAACCGGTAAGCTTAATACTTGAACAACAATTTTAACTGTAGTAAATATGATATATTTCCTTCAAGTAGTGCTGAGACTTTAAATTGCAGATGTAGTGAAAGCGGAACTTATTTCTGTTGTTGATTTTCAGGTTTGGGGCCAAATCTTGAAGCTCCAGTATTTCGGGATACGTCTAAAAGACCAGGTAGTTTGCATCCTGGTACTCGATCACGTCGTTTGGAAGGTGGAAAGACAGGAAATGCCTTTCAAGTCTATCAGGTGAATAAGCGAAATGAGTAATTTATTTCTGAAAAAAAAGTGGGAAAACATTTATATCCCATTTCGAAACCTCGTTTACAAGCCATGCTATAATCAGACTTTTCCTGCCTTTGCAAGAAATTTTAGAAAAAATGAAAAATTGGAAACTTTTGCTTGCTGGAAATTTAGGTTATGACATCATTTTCTATATCTTTCTCAGTTTAAAACTTGAAGTTATTCATCCTTCAATTTTTTTCCCCCTACTGTGCGAAAGAAGGCTTTTCGTTTTTTAAAGCATATATTGTACAGTATTTTACATACTAAATGATTAGCAAGCAGCTATGTGACTCTTCGTTAATTGATAGTTGACTGCAGTTTTATGGTTAGGATTCTTCGGAGTAATTTCCGGAAACTGCTTGCTTGTTCTCTGAAATGCAGGCAGGAGAGAGAGGGAGAAAATTCTTCAAAATTATTTAGAAAAAATCTTAAATCCAGGGTGAAGAAGCATTTGATGATGAGAATTTGTTGGTACCAAAATGTTTCGGTGATAACTTGGCTCGTGTGGCTTTTGTGCAAAATAGTTGGGATCCGACCAAATGGAACGATGCACGAATTGATGGTATACCGAAAAAAAGAAATGAAATACATCGGGCTGCTTTCACGGTTACTTGTATTTTTATTCATAAGTTTGAATTAAATTCGTTGTATTATGTTCTGTTTTTACCAGCCAACTATTTATCTAAATTTTTTTATTTAAAGTACAATTCTTTTTTCAAATTCATTTCATAACTTTAATTATTGGATGAATCTGATGTAGGTTTTCAATGAAGATGAGGAAGAGGCAAAGGATCGAAAGCAACCGAGCAGACGTGCACGGTTATTTATATCAAACAAGGTTGAAATACTTTGAAATTTCGTAGCTTTTTCCAATTTATTTCATGATTGCTGAACTGAATTAGTTGCTGAAGATGATTTTGTTTACCGAACGTTATTGATCCATTTTTCAGTTTTTCAGTTTGTTTGTCTTGAAATAGTTTGATTCTCTTGGCAAAGCAATCATGCACGAACTCTAAGAACAGGTTAACCTAGATGAAAAGTCTGGATAAAATTCCGAAAGCGATAAAAGGCGACTGATTTTTTTTTTCTTTGAATGTAAAAGTTATTTATCTTGTTCTTTTTCAGGTTATTTCGATGGAAGAACTGTTTGCAGAACGGTTCCAATTATAGCTTTTCACTTTGTTAAGATTACAACTTTTACTGCGTTACTGCCTGTGTCTTGTTTCACTTATACTATTTACTCAAATTTTTATTGATTTATATACGAATTACCTGTATTATCTGTATGTAACTTGTTTTTCTTCAAATGATGATTTTTTCTTGTCAAGTAACGATTGCTTTTAAGATAAATTGAACAAATACTATGAAAATCGCTGACGCTGAATATCGAATTATCTTGAGGTGTCTTTTTTCTGAGAATGAGGACATTTTAACTCTAAAGTTGGAATGATAGTAAGAATTATAAATTGCTCTGTTGCTATCAGTAGCCTTAGTTCTTGTGTAATGGTCCAAGAAATCAGCTTTAGTTGTATATTTGCGTAATCCGTTGCATGTGGACGGCGTTCTATGATAACCAATCAAACATTAATTTAAAATTAGTTATATTCTTTAGACAGTCAATAATCAACTGTAGATTTACTTATTAGCACTAAAGCATTTCAAGCAGTAAAGGTCATATTTCGTGATTTTCAAGTATTTTTCAAAATTCGGATTTTGAGGATTTTTTTCTCGTTTTTTTAAATACATTTATATTTTTTGTTAAAAAACAAATAAATATTCGTAGAAATATGTGACCTTGAGAAAAGCTGAGATGCTAAGAAATGACCTAACAGGTGTTATTGATTATTACTCTATGCTGTATTAAGGTGAAGAGATAGAAATTTAACGTGGATATTCAAATTTTATTTTGATTTCTTACGTACGTGTGTGTATTGTGTCGTTTCTTGATTTTGCATTAAACCAAATTTCGAAATTTTTTATTTGTAAAATCACATATGCGTTTTGTTTAAAATCCAATGATATGCCTAAATTTGAAATAAAATTTTTACGAGTGCAATATCTTTTTTTTTTTCATTGTTGATGTTTATGAGGGATTTTTCTCTATCATACTTTACTTAGCATTTGTTTCATTAATTGTTAGGATTTCATCAAAGAAATATGTTATAACAAATTTCAGACAGGGGTCGTTTTGGTTGGTTCAAATATTTGTTTACTCGGACAAAAACTTATTAGTGATAAATTTGCGAATTTTATTTTTCTAATATACTATACGGAAATATAAAAGCTGTAATTTGTGGCAGAATTTTGATTTGCGTAATTAAACCAATTTCTAATGAGCAGTTGCAATAATACTTTGGTGACTATTTAATTCACTTGATTGTATATTCCTAGCTGAATTTATCACTCTAAAGTAATGAGTTGGTCATTTTATCCGTCAAAATTTGATGAGAAAGGTAAATAAATGTGTTAGCAAATGGACTATTCAAGCATATATATATACTTAATCTTTTACAGATTTGAATATTCGTTCCAGCAAGCATAATCATATGCAATATTTCAACAATTTTTATACGAAAATCAAGATTAGTATAGAAATATGTTCGTGTTAGCAATGTTAGAAGATAATGTACGAATTAAGCCACATCAATTTGGTGAACCTTTTGAACCGGTAAGTCTTACTACATATTAAATAATGAAATGATAGTATATTTTTGCATATACAAAAAAGGATATCCTCAATTAACTTATTCTGTTATTTTAAATCTTTGCTTTGAAATACCTGTAAATTCGACACATACACGCTATAAAAATGATAGTGATTTTAGATATGTGTGTGCTAAAGGTTGCGACAATATTTTGATGTGACAGTTTGGGGGATGAGAGATTGGTAATGGTGTTTATTCGACTGGCACCATCGATCTTTTCATTATATCAATTTTCTATTCCGTTACCTTAATCCGTTTGCATTTATAAGTCCATAACTGATATTATAACATAAATGAATGGAAGTGGAATTTAAAAAAGGCAAATAATCCTTGCATTGTAAGCAAAGTACGTTTTAAAGATGAATGTTTGTATTATTTCAGATGTTAATGAAACGCTTAAATGAGCAGTTCGCCAACAAAATCGTGCCAGGTTTAGGTCTATGTATTATAATCTATGATCTTGTTGATATTGGTGCCTCATATATATTACCAGGTGATGGCAGTACGCATACAAAAGTCAAGGTAAACTGAACTTAGGTTCCATTATTTGGAATTAAATCTATGAATTAAAAGGAAAATTTCAACTCTTGCAATTTTCTCACGGTTCCAAACTGTATTAACCGTTGTTTTGAAACGGGGTGATGTCGTATTTGAAGATGTAGATTTCACTTTCCATTTGAACATATCAACTGGTGGGATGGAAAGTGAAATTACGCAAGTAAAAATTCTTGATAAATGTTATTTATTACGATCGATAAGTAACCTTTCGTTCAAATTAATACGATAGTAGCCGGTCAAGATAGCGTTGGAGAAGTGAAGTTGCTTAAATCCGAATTTTCAATAAGTCGTATTTGGATGATTTCAGTTTCGTTTTGTTGTGTTCCGACCTTTTATCGATGAAGTTATTGAAGCGAAAGTGTTATCAAGTAACGCCGAAGGATTGATGCTATCAGTGATATTTTTTGAGGATATATTTATACCAGCACATCGCTTGCCACAACCGTCTGTTTTTGAAGAGGAAGAGCAGGTTAAAATTAAATTTATCAGTGGACATACAGTAAGAGAAGTAATGCAAAAGTAACGACTCATTCATTAGCGCCCTTTCCGTTAGATAATGTGTGACTTTCTTGATGTAAATGTACGTACACTTAAAATGTGGCTTATCTCTTCAGATTTATTAATTCAAAAGAATTTTCTTGTAATTGCAGATTTGGTATTGGGATTATCAACCTGAAGATGGACAGTCTGCTAAACTGTATATGGATCCTGGTAAAACTGTTCGCTTCCGAGTTATTGATAATATTTTCAAGTGAATATTTCCTTTTTTTCATTACCGAATGTGATCACATTTAAAGTAGTAGACTTTAGAATTTGAAAACAGGTTACTTTGTGAATCTTTTATGCTTGAGGAAAACAGTACTTCGGATTAACGATCGTGATCATCAGTCTAGAATGCCCTTTTAGGAGATCATCTGAATTATCAGTGATGATGAGGATGTAATGCAAATTGACACTATTCAATCAATGAACTTGAGGAATAAAGAGATTAGAGAGAGGACAAGCATAATGAGGAAAGAACATTACGTAAGTTAATCAATAGATTATGGAAAAAGTGGAAGTTCAGGAAGTAGTAATCTTGATATTGTAGAGACGTAGATCCTAACAGTAGCCAGGATGAACTGAAACGAGAGAAATCATATCAAATTATCGGATCAATGGCAGAAACGGGATTAGGATGTGTATTATGGTGGGCACCAAACGAGGAAGGTATTAACAATGAAGAGGACGAAGATCAAATGGACGAAGGAATGATTGGGGATGCAGAGGAAGAGCAAAAAGATGATACATGACATATTTATCAAATATTTAATTGCTATAATTATTGCGGCATTCAGTTTTGATCATAATAAATGCTCTTTTATATCACACTTTATATACATATGGCAGAGGCAAATTTGATTTGACCAAATAGTAACGACTACCTGCATAATTTGCTTATATTTCACATAAACTGTCCAACATATAGACGCAGAATTCTAGGATCCGTATAACTGTGGTTGGAGCGTAAGCTTCGGGATTTTGTGCTGTAACAGTTAGTCGGTGAAGATTTCTGGCAAGCTTCCCAGTAAATTCAGCTCCTTGGTAGGTAATGGGGAAGTTGTAGTTGAGGTAGCTTTACTTTGGGGTATTACTTGTTATTTTCAACTGAATACATTCGGCATAGTCTCTTTGTATGTTTTACTTCTTTCTTTTTTGCTTGAACAGAAGAAACAAATATATATGTTAAAAATTGATTGAAAGTTTTCGACGAAAAGTTTCAATTTTAAAAGAGGAAAAACGCAAAATTTTCATGACTGAAATTAGAATAGATTGCCATAAAATTATTTTTATAATTTAAAAATTATGGCATTTTAACTTTCGATTTTTTTATTTGTTACGAGATAACAGTTAAAAGGAAGAGAAATATGGGATGGAAGGTTTAGAAGGTGATAACACTGAAAACATTTGGAGTAGGATTAGTGTGTGTTTTAGAATTGAAGAAAATGATGCAAAAAGTGGAATTTATGGTAGAGATTTTTGGCATATTATTATAGTCAAAAGTAAACATTTTGCTTTTTTATCATTTTATTGTAATTTTAGGAAATTTTCATTCCATTATATTTACTATATATGCATATAATATGAAGAATTAAAATTACTAGTAAAGGATGTTGGCGGTTGTTTAAGAACATTGTATTAATTTTGTTAGTGTGAGGTTTAGGAATTTAATGTTGTTTACTTTTTTTCTACTTTTTTTTAGAACAATGATGGAATTAGATGTATTAAGCGCTGATATATCGAAAGCATACGACGATTTGCGAACCATCGAGGAATCAATTATTTCACTATCGGGAAAGGAAAGGTGGGCTTTTCTAGGTTGTTCTTAAAGTAGGGTGTAAAGTGCGTACTACCTTTTAGTTTTTCTTTTAGATTTTATAAATTAATTCGATCGTAAGATTATTGCTGCTTATATTGCATCATCGCTCACATTTTTATGTTCTGTTGCAGATGGGGCAAAAAAAGGGAAATTTACAATTCTTATTCTACAATATGCTATTAACCTGAGCACCTTGAACTCTTTTATTTTGTACCTATTAATATTAGGTAAAAAATATATGTGTAGTAATTTCTAATTTATATCGAAAATTCGTTCTTATTCTTAGTATATTTGATTTCAAAGGTTTGGTGCGGGCAGGCGACGTATTTTGGATTCAGCTAGTCGTCCTGGCAATTACGGATTTGAAAGGTGTGTTTACCTTCCATTGGTCATATCAGTTTTTGGATTTGTTTGTGCAGAAATAATGCGAAAGGTTATTTGCAGACGTGATGCACGCACAGTAAGCTTGGATTCTTCGGGACCGAATAAACGTCGTTTAGTTATATCTGCTGAGAATGAGTATGGTTTTATTATCATTTAAATATCTTTAAAACGGTTTGACGATCTGTTTAGAACATTGCATGGGTGTTAATTTGCAGTTTATACGAAGGTTCGGATAAACGGGCACGATATGATGATAGGGAAGATGAAGCTGTGCGACGTACTGTGCAGTCATCAGTTGTTATGCCTGCAATTGAGACTAAATCGCGTAAAGCTGCTATATCTGAGTTGAAAGGAGCAGAAAAAAAGGAAGTTAATGTCAGGTCAGGTTTTGTTTGATATTTTTTAAGTAGCGATGAAGGAAGTTTCCAAGATTCATTGCCGTTCATAATTAGAGCAGCGGACTGGTGAGAAGCACGGTAGCGTTGGATGAAAAGCGAAAATAAGAAGATGAGGGCTGTATTTACCGGTTCCTGGTAGGTAAAATGAATCTGTATTTGTTGATCAAGTGTTTCAACAGCTTTCTCTAATCCTGGAGAGCTTCTGAGGGTTGTAAATTTTATTTAAATGCATGTTTTGTGCTGGATTCAGACAGGATGGGATTTTCTCTATCTGTTTTACATTCCCATCAGTGAATCAGTGGAGATGAATGCCGATACGGAATTTTAAACTCATTATTGAAATGAAAATCATAATCCCTGCGTGCAAACATTGCGAATCGTTCTGGTCGTTCTGGACAGTGATGTTATTAAGATTTGATAGACTTATATTCTGCTTTACACAATATTAATGTATTAGTTCGAAACAGAGACAAATTCGGAGCGTAACGGGAATCAGTTTTGAAAAAAATCATTTAGAAATCGTCGAATGTTTTCAAATTTACTGCTTGGGACCCTGCAGCGTTTCCAGATGGAGGAGAAGAAAATATCTTCAGTAGAAAAAGTTCAGGTATCATTTCCGATTAACGTGATTTGTTTGCATATTTGAAATATCTTCAGTAGAAAAAGTTCAGGTATCATTTCCGATTAGCGTGATTTGTTTGCATATTTAACCATATAAATATATCAACTATTTAAGTGTATCTGATTTTCAGGCTGAAAAGCAAAAGGAGGTTGAAAGGCGTTTACGAGAGTCGGAAGAAGAAGAGCGCGAACGATTAGCTCGAGAAAAAGCCGCTCTGCTTGGAAAACGGCGTGAAAAAGAACGTTTAATTAAATCATTGCAGCGAAAAAAAGCGATTATACAATATGTAAGCTTCATAATAAGAGAGAACTTCACAATCAAAATATGATCTGTATATCAATTAGTAAGATACTTCTTGTTTCACATGGTTTTATGGGGAAATAGTGGATTTCATATAATTAAAAATTTGTAGGCTTTTTGATTATTCAGAATTCAGCATTCTGCGATTCGATCATTCTTCCTGGGTATGAAATTAGGGAAAGTCGTGAAATCACTGGGGTTAGAGAATGTTGCTTTATTGGGTTGCATGAAACCGAAAAAACACCTCTTATTTTTTGAGCGAATTTAAACAGGATAAATATCGCAAACCTGATAACACTATCTACTTAAGAATGAATTATACAATTACAAAGCGAACCGGACTTAGTGGGCCAAAAAGGTATTTGACGAGAAACTGTTGTAAGAAATTGTGTGAACTGATTTACTGCTACTCTCTAAACACAATGTCTTTCAGGCAGAGCAAAAGCAGGAGCATTATCGCAAATTACAGAATTTTATTCAAACGCAGGCAAAGCCACCGGTATTCTATTTGCCAGCAAAACACACACTGCGAACTTTGGAACTGTTGAAAGTGTCTTCAAAGAAGATAGATGGTAAGTTTCCTATGTTTCTGACAGAAATGTTTGTGTAATCTGCAATAAAACATGCGCTGTATCACCCGAACATTATTAACGGTAAATTTCTTTGATAAGATTTCTATTATGTTTTTGAATTTTCATTTGCAGAGCTTATTGAACATCGCCGGCAACAAATGGAAGCTGACCTAAAAACACCAGAAGAGAAGCAAGTGGATGAGGGTGAATCTGATGGGGAGCATTCCGAAACTTCAGCAGCTACGCGCTCCATTGCAAAAATGAACACGGAAGATGCAAACAAGCCTTCAGACAGTGAAATTGGTGGCAAAAAGTTGGACGATGATGAAGTCATGGAAAGGGAAATGGTGGGAGGAGTATCCATGGAATCTTCATTGCGGGTAATTTTTAGAGTAAATAACCTTTTCGTATGTAGTGATTTGGTTATCCGGGTAACAGTCGGACAAACAGGAGTTAATCGTAATTTTCAGTGCATTTTTTACAATGTCCCTGAATTTACTTTATTCGACAACTCGCGCCACTTTTCCGATGTCTGTTCTCTTGAAACGTCCTATATTGTTGCAGTCAGTTTTGCATATTTGCAAAATTTATCTCCTCACTTCCGCGAGAAAATTTTTGGATATGTGATTATTTTTTTCTTCATTTTAGGACTTTGGAGAGGAAGAATGTATGAATGGTGATGAAATAAAAGAGTCGAAACAACTGGATGAGGACGAGCAAGAAACAGGTAAGGATAATAGTCGTAGTGACAGTGAGCCACCAGGTGTTGAAGATGAAATTGATCAGGATGGTGACTCTCATGTTGCATTTGCTGACGAAGATGATTAATGATATAAAAATTTTCGAGTAAGTGTTCTTGTGAAGTTTATTTTACAGATGGCCTCAATTTTTATTGAGTTTAGTTCAGTAACTAGCTGATGATGTATACCTGTGGAAGGATCATATCACCCTTGTAATGGTGATAATATGTTTTTAAAATGGAATATTATACTGTTTGGAAGAGCTCCATTCTTACTGCAAGAAAAATCTTCGTTACTGAATTCTAATTTAAGTAAGGGGATGAAGATTTTTGAATACAACAGTCATAGGTTTTGATTTATATTTTGAAACAGCATCAGTACCTGGCCTACTTTTGTCCATTTATTCCTTAGTTCGGTTATCTTTGTTATGTCGGAACCTAATATTCGTAGTAATTTCTTACCCTGATAATATATTTCAGGTTCATAGATTTTTGTTTCGTTTCAACTTCCTTTTCAGCTTTTATTTCTTTACGGCTCAATAACTTCAGTTAATAATACCGTCATCATGACATTCGGCATGTGTTTTACTGTTGCAGCGTTACTGTTTGTTCAGTAAGCAACCTTTTGCTTATTTCTAACTTTTGCTTATTCGTACGTTATTTTAGAAAAAAAAGAGTGAAATTTTGCCGTTCACTTTTCAGTACTAGTTGCACAGTAGGGAGTTAACTGCAGTTTGTTTTAGTAGCAGTTTGAATTATTTATATCTATTGACATTTGAATTTTCATATGAGCAGCCTACAGCTCAGATTATATACGTTGTATTCTGTTTTACTTCGTTTTCGCATACTTTTCCACTTTGTTCATGGTGTTGTTTTTGTCTAGGGATAAAATGTTTTACCGCAGTGTACAACACGGACATGTCTTTTGGTAGTATTTGTAGAATAATTTATAGAAATTACATGCTAGTATCTTTTTCTTGGATTTGTTAAAGCCAAAGTAAAACGAACTTTATTTTACTGGTCGATGACGTATGGTATTATTTAAGCACTTGCAGTCATGTTTATTCATATTTACAAATTCCCTAATACTAGAATTTTCTCCTGAATACCGGTACATATTTTGAATTGGTAATGAGAGAAGTCAGAACAAAAAGAAAAGAAATCGAGAACCGGAATTGCATTTTGGAGTTTGTGCCAACATGCTAAACACTAATATAAAGTATCATTTAATGACGTACTTTTATACGCTTTCAAAAGTACTAAAATACATGTAACATTTTAGTACTTTGTAATACGCTTGCTACAAGTCACTAGAAAATTTATTTGGTTTATTTGAAGTCTTTGATCAGATAGTAGAAGGGTTATAAAATTCGTATAACTTTGGTCAATCGAATGATTTGGTTGAATTTTCTCTTATATTTATCCCATAAAAAATAACACGGATATTATATTAGTTATTCATACATATTAATAACAGTTACGAGAAAAACTGCAATACAATTGTTTTATTTTCAATCAAAAACTGTTCAACCATCTTTTATTAGTATATCTAAAATACAAATTTTTGCCATATTCATTGAAAACTTTTCTGATCTGAGGTTGAGCAGAATTTGATATGCATTATGCATCATTAATATTAGCATTGAAGAACAATGAAAAGAGTGTAAAAAGTAGAGAATTTTATCAATTATTGCCGTAATATATTTCTGAAATACAAACAATAAATTTCAAAAACCGGAAATCATTAAAGATTGTTGATCAACTCTCGAAACCATTGATCATGAAGGCTTTTCATTAACTCTAAAATTTCAATAATGATTAAAGGATACTGCAATATGAAATATTTTATTATATGCAAAATTGATTTTGAAATTTTTAATTAGCTATTTTAAAATGAATGTGTTCATGAAATATTTCAAACAGAAAAATGTAAATACTTACTATTAGAATGCAAATTTTAAAATTGTGACAAAAGGAATGGATTAATTTGTTGTTGTTTCTTGTGGACCATTATGTTTTGCCATTAATGGTTCTTTAGCTAATTGTGTTTCACGAAGCACCTGAACACGTTTTTGTGTCATGATTGGTTGTTGTTTTACCTGAAAAATATTCAGAGAAGAGGGCGGGGGTGAGAAAAAAACAAACAAACTTTACAAGTTGTGAAAATTTTTTATGAAATCAGAAATTACCTCATTTCTTTTTTTTTTTTTTTTACAATTACCTTTTTTTTTCTCTTCGTTTACAAACTTTATACTTCGTCATTTCATTTCAAATAATTCCATAAATAAGAAAAGGGAAGGAATAATTTTTTATACAAAAAAAAAAAAAAATGATAACACTAAAATATTTGCAAAATTTTTCAAATTTTTTTTTTTACAACTTTTAAGTTTTGGAAGAAAAAAAGAAATTTTTTTTTTAATTTTTTTTGTAACTTCAATACAATACTTCTTTGATGTGGTTTGTGGTTTTCTTTTTTTTTTTTAAATTTATTCTTTTTTATTTTCTCTGTTATTTTAACATATAAAATAAAATATTAAAATTAGAGAGAGAAAAAAGGAAAAAAAAAAAGTACCACTAACTTGATCAATACTTAAAACACCACGACGTTTTTTGGGTAATTTAGAACGAGCTTGTGTATGAGAATAAAATAAAGCAAAATTGCTAACAATTACCTGAAAAAAAAAGAAAAAAACAAAATAATTGATTCATGTATTGATAGTATATTACAGTGATTTTTTTTTTTTTTATTAACAGTTTAATGAATAATTTTTAAAAAAATATAATAAAATAATTTCAAAAAAAAGTAATAATTTTTATAACTATTGGAAATATTTTAGATATGTAAATATGAGAATAACTAATTTAATTATTTTTATCAATTCGTTTAATGTAATTAATTACAGGACGAAATATTTATTTAAATTTGTGTTTCTTTTTTTCTCTTTTTTTCTGAAATATAAAATCATATTTGTTTTCAGTGTTATTATTAGTATTATTGGAGTTATTTTCATTCATTCATACATTTACTTAGTGTTCTTATTTCAATTATTGATTACCATTATGATTACTGATTAGTATTATTATTAATAATATCACAGTTGTTTTCATTCATTCATTCATTCATTCACTTCACTTCATTAATTTCATTTATTCATTCATTTCATTCATTCATTCATCCATTTATTCAATTTCATTCATTCAGTCATTCATTATTATTATTATTATTGTTATTATTATTATTATTATTATTATTATTATTATTATTATTATTATTATTATTATTATTATTATTATTATTATTATTATTATTATTATTATTATTATTATTATTATTATTATTATTATTATTATT